ATTTCCATGTGTTTATAAGTTCTTGAGGTTTCTTTTGCCATTGATTTCCACCTTCAGTGCACTATGGTCTGATCATATGCATGGGATAATTTCAATGTCTTTGCATTTACTTAAGCATGTTCTCTGAGCTAGTATGTGGTCTGTTTTGGAGAATGTCCTGTGGGCAGCTGAGAAGAATGTGTTTTCTGATGTTGTGGTGGTGGAACACCCTGCAGACATCTACTAAGTCCATTTCTTCAAATGTTTGGTTTAATGCTAATATTTCATTGTTGATTTTTTGTCTAGTGGATCTGTCTTTTTGTAACAGTGGGGTATTTAGATACAACTGTATTAATACTTATTTGGTATTTCTTTTTAAAATTTTTTAAAATTTTTATTTCTTGTTTTTTGGTATCAGGAATCGAACTCAGGACCTTGTGCTTGCCAGGTAGGCACTTGTGCCACTGAGCTACATCCCCAGCCTTATTTGATTTTTCACGTCTGATAATATTTGTTTTATATAGTTGGGTACACTGGTATTTCTTGCATTATATTTATGATTGTTATCTCTTCCTCTTGGATTGCTCCCTTTACAAGGATATAGTGACCTTCTTTATCTGTCTTAATCAGTCTTGGCTTGAAATCCATTTTGTCTGCAAATAGAATAGCTACCCCTGCTTTTTTCTGGGTTCCTGTCACATGGAGTATTGTTTTCCACCCTTTGAATTTCAGTTTATGAATTTCTTTTTGAATCAAATGTGTTTCATGTACGCTGCATATTGCTAGATCTTGCTTCTTGATCCATTCTGGCAGTCTGTGTCTTTTGATTGGTGAGTTGAGACCATTAACATTGATGGTTATAACTGATACGTACTGACTTATCTTTGTCATGTTATTTTTCTGTTGTTGGCTTCCCCTCTTCTTTTCCCCTCCATTTGTTGTTTTCTTTGCCTGTGGATTCCTTCTGTTGGGATTCATGGAGTTCTTGTCCTTGTTATCTCTTTCTAGAATGTCCTTCAAAACATTGCTGAGTGCTGGTTTAATGGTCATAAATTTCCTCAGATATTCTCTGTCATGGAAGAATCTTACTTCTCCATCAGTTTTTTTTCTGGTAGCATGAATTGAACTCATGATCTTACGCTTGCCAGGCGGGTACTTGTGCCACTGATCCGTATCTCCAGCCCTCCCCATCAGTTTTGAAAGATAGGCTTGTGGGATACATCAGTCTGGGTTGAAGGTTATTTTCCTTGAGAACTTGAAATACTTCTTTCCAAGCTCTCCTTGACTTGAGCGTTTGTGCTGAGCAGTCTGCTGTGATTCTGATAGGCATTCCTTTATAGGTGATCTGCTTCTTTTCCCTAACAGCTTTTAAGATTCTATTCTTAAGCAAGGCGTAGTAGCGCACACCTGTAATCCCAGCACTTGGGAGGCTGAGGCAGGAGGATTGTTCTGAGTTTGAGACCAGCCTGGGCTACAAAGTGAGCTCACACCCAGCCTGAACTGCACAGTGAGACCCTGTCTCAAAAAGACAAAAAAAAAAAAAAAAAAAAAAAAAAAAAAAAAAAATTCTATTCTTGTGTTGAATTTCTGGCATATTAATCGTAAAATGCCTGATTGGAGATATTTTTAATCTTGGCTAACTGGAGTTGGAAATTAATTGGAAACCACATTTACATTCATATAAAAACAAGGTCAAACAACAAGAAGAAGGAAAACAAAAACAAAAGCTTGACAATGACAACAAAAAACAAACAAGAGAGAGAAAGAAAAAAAGTCCACTTCCAGGTTTGTCTCTGATGTTACTGGCAGACAATGTGTGGAGACAGTCCGATCCATGCCGATGTATCTCAGCGAGCCAGCAGTAGCTTTTTGGTGAGGCAGCGGATGATCTCAGCGAGCTGCACCTTTTGGTTGAGACCAGACTCGTTCAACCTGCAGCCATCAAGGCTCTGAGGGCCTGAGCCCAGCTGGGAGCCACTGGATGGAGCTGGCAGCAGCTCAGCTGGTCCTTCTCCAAGATGGCTCCTGGCCAATTGCTCTCTGGAGCAGGACTACTGATCCCTCAGCACTCACCGCCAGCTAGTGCAGTCCTCCACGTCCGCTGCTCCCCTCACTGCTGCATCTCTCCGTGGACGCCTCTGGGGTCACCAGCACTCACCGTGTCCACAGGCTTGAACTGCTCCTCTCACACCGTGAGTCTCATCTCAGGGAGTATGCACCACTGGCCGCCTCCTTCCTCTTTGTCGAAGTTTCTCGCTTCACTCTCCGTGGGCTTCAGTTCGTGTCTCAGGTCCTTCCTGGGTCCAGGGAACCCACTTCCCTCCATCTCTCTGCTCTTTCTCTGCTGCTTGCCACTCTGCCATCTTGGTGCCCCCCCACCTAAGTGAGGCACTTTGATGAATGGCAATGTGTCTTTTTATTACAATATTTCACAGTTAAATGTTCACCATGTTTTATGACCCTCCTTTGATCAAATGCTTGTGGCAATTTCTGTCAGGTAAAACCACGACAGTGTGTCCTCAACCACCTTATTCACTGGATCTGTTACCAAGTCAAGATAACCTTGAAAAATGAATGATTTGAATCAGTTCAGGCCATCCAGGCAGCCACAACTGCACCCCGAGGGCCACACAAAGTGACGGGACGATGGGATGAGTGTGTTCACAGGGCGGGGAGGATCTCGAGGTGGCCGTGTGAGTGGGACCATCATAGATTTTTAAAAATGTAGACATGCATCATAGTTTTTGATCATGCCATATATATAAACATAGAGTCTGCCTCAAAAATGCATACATAAAGAAAAAAACTTGTATAAATATTTTAACGTTAAATTTACTGAGACAGCATGTGATTGATACAAGTTACCTTAGGCCCGTGCAATGACAAGAGGTGCTCAAAATGGTGACCACGAGCTTCCAGGCATTTATTAGTACAGCCAACTGCTGAAGTGCAGATACATTTTTTGGCAGACTATATATAAGTACATATATGTAAGTGTATGTATACATATATAATGCATATGTTTGTATGAGAATATATAAATACATGTATAAATATCTATATGGCAGGTTGTATTGGCTACAGCACGTTTTAACAACCCTGGGTGGCTCTGGCCTTACCTGTGTTGTACCCCTTCCACTCGTGTCTGCCCAGGGCCTCTTCCTCCCTCTCATGTCTGCTTCCTGCCCCGCCAGCCAGGCCTCCTACCTTCCCTCCACCCTGCTTAGGGAAGCAAAACACAAACTTGAGCTGCTCCCATCTTTGTTCTCACAGAAAAGAAATTTGTGGCAGAGGAATTCTGAGTGTGACCAGGTGGATCAAAGCTGCTTCTGATCACATGAGACAATCTTCAGTGAAGTCACTGGTCTGGCCTCCAGTATATATTTGTGTACAGGTGGATTAAATTCAGCACCTTCATACTGAGCTACATATCCTGCTCTTATTTTATTTTATTGTTTATTTTTTGAGGTAAAGTCTCTCTCAATTGCTAGACTGCCTGCCCAGGTGGACTTAAAGTTGCGATCTTCCTGCCTCAGCATCCCCAGAGTGCTGGGCATTATGGGGATGCACCACCACGCTTAGCTCCAGGTAGCACATCTTGGGCAGCCATTTTGTACCATGAGCCAGGGAAACAAAGGTCGCTTGTTTCTTAGATTGTCTCTCTTTCCCACGCCTTCCTGTCTGTAATCCATCTCCATGTAATGTTATTTTAAATATGCAGAGCATATCAGTTTCCTGCTCAAAATTCTTTTTGTATTTCGGATAACTTCTGAACCCCGCACTTTTGCTGCAGTGCCCCTACCTTGACCTGTCTTTTCTGTTGTTGAAAATACCAGTGTGGTTCCTGAATCAGGGCCTCTCTGGGTACGGAGGTGGGAAGGACTCCAGGCAACGGAGTTCTTCACAGTTTTCAAGTCAAAGCACATTGCCTTCACACATCTTCTATCTTGTATATTTATTCTCTTTTACCTCCAATTTTTTTGTTTCCAAATTGCTAATCCCCAGTTTTATCTCAACTCCTCTCCCTCCATACATAACTGTTCTAAAGTGTTTCAAGTGTGTTTTCTGTATGTGTTCTAGCAGACTGCAGGTAGAATATGTCCCGTGGGCATGTAGTTTTAAATATGCACCATATACTTCATGCTCTAGGTTTCAGAGATCTAGTTGTATTGCTAAGGGCATTTTGTGCGCACAGTGTACACATTTTAACTACCCACTCCTCCAGTGAGGGAGGTCAGATTGCCTCTTGCTGGTCACCTTTGGGGCCAGAGCTGCAGTGACCTAGCGGGCAGCTTCACCACAGAGGGAGGTCCCAGGTGAGCACATGACATGCAGATTGCAGTACTCTGCCAGCTGGTGGCTGATGGCTTTCTATATTAGCCCCACTGGCCCCAGGGCCTTTGTACTTGCTCTTCAGGCAGTCTGGAATAACTATCTCCTGAGCTCTTCAAAGACTTTCTCTTGCTCCTCAGTGAGGTCTCAGCTCAACTATCCTTGCCTCAGAGAGGCTGTCCCAATCTTGCTGTTATCCCTACAACTCTCGCTCAACAGGTCGTCTTCCTCGCCTTCATTTACATTTGTTACACTGCAGCACCCACCACAACATGCAATGATCTATAATCATTTATTTATTACCTATGTTTTCTCCACTAGAGCAAGGGATGCTGTCCTGTTAACAAGGCATCTAGCAGAGCCCAAGCTAAAGCAGGCTCTCAACTCCTATTTTTGAACAAATGCATGAAATAATAAATGAATACCATTGTGAAATGGACCCATTTAACCTTCAGCAGCTAGAAAAGCGGGGCGCATAACGGGAAGGCAGGTAGGGAAAGTGCCTCTGGAAAGGAGCTAAAGGGCTGGCGGAGGCCCCCGGCCATCTGCACGCGGCTCAGTTCCACAAATGCCTTGTATTTCCGCAAAGTCAAACTCGCCTGCTGGCTGGTGCCAACCCCATCCAACCTGCAGGGGGCGCTCGTAGAACACCATCAGGGAGCACCGAAACTACATTTCCCAGCATCCCGCGCGCAGCCGACCCGCTTCCGGAAGCCACGGGCAACATGGCGGCGTCTGAGGAGCACGATTCTCCTGAAGATCCCCAGCCCGCGGCGGCGGAGGAGGAAACTAAAACTTTCAAAGACTTGGTGAGGATGGGTGATGGCGATATCCCTTTTGCACTGCTGGTGGTAGTCTCAGGGAGGGTTCAGTCACCTTAGATTCCAGCCGGTAGCGTACAAAAGCACCTCTGGGCCCACCTTCGGTTTCCCGCAGTTTGCGAAGCTCGGTTTCCGCTCAGAGTTTGGGTGCGGGGCTGCTGGCCTCTTAGAGTCCCCGCTTGACCTTTCTCCACTTGACTGTGGCGACTTTGGTGTCGTCCAGAAGGCTACAGGAATCGATCTTCTTGCCGGGCGTCGTGGCGCACGCCTGTAATCCCAGCACTCGGGAGGCTGAGGCAGGAGGATCGGTGCGAGCTCGAGACCAGCCTGGGCTACAAAGTGAGCTCAAGGCCAGCCTGAACTGCAGAGCGAGACCCTGTCTCAAAAAGACTAAAAAAAAAAAGAATCGATCTTATAGCTGGAGCTTTAGACTCAGATGCACCAACCAGGTCTGAATTCTGGCCCAGGCAAGTTGGTACCTCTGTGTGCCTCGGTTTCCACGCGTGTGCACCGGGGCCGCGGAATTGTGATGATTAAATGAGATCATGCATGTGGAGCGCTTGGCTTTGTCTCACGGATAAAAAGAGCGAAGTCTTGAGCAGCTGTCTCGCGGCACTCAGAGAGCCAGGCTTTAAGATGTGCAGTGCATACCTTTTAAATTAAGTGTTAGGGCTCTGCACGTCACCTGCAGGATGGCACAAATAAAGTCACTTGAAAAGGAGGGAGACTGGAGAGGCTGAGGCAGAAGGATCGCTGTGGGTTCAAGGCGAATCTGGGCTACATATCGAGTTGAAAGCCAGTTAGACTGCATAGCAAGACCCTGTCTCAAAAACTAAGAGAAACTCTAAAAAACAAAAAAGCAGGATGGGGGTGGGAATGTGCTGTTCTTTGCTAAGGTATATTTTTCTTAATTCTAAGGGTGTGACAGATGTATTGTGTGAAGCTTGTGACCAGTTGGGATGGGCAAAGCCCACCAAGATCCAGATGGAGGCTATTCCTATGGCCTTACAAGGTAAGTTGAAGTTAAGTACATCACCTGGTACAGATTCAATATGGAGTTGTATTCAATTAAGTACCTAGCACTTTTGATAGCTGTTGCATGCATAGTCAAAGTGAAATAAAGATACAGTCTCTAAAGATGGAAAGTTTGGGCCTATTGGCTTTTGAGAAAGTCATTCACCAGGTTTACTGAACTTAGTCTGACTTAATAGTTGAAGGGATTTGTTTTCTGCCATACAGGCAGACTTTAAGGAAACATTGTAATAAATAAATGTAAGAATAAGAAACTTGTTAGAAATTATGAATCAATATATGTATACTTATACTTACGGACAGCTGGAACAGATATAGTTATGTATCCCTTAATAAAGGGAGTATGTTCTAAGAAATGTGTCCATTAAGCAGTTTTGTTTTGGTGTGAATATCAGAGTGTAATTAAACTGACCTAGCCAACTGTGCACCCAGGGCGTGTGGTAGGGGCATGTGGGTGTTATGTGGGGCATGACTGTTTTATCTAGAGGAGTGGAGGGCCCTTTCTGTGAGATGTGTTTATTATATTTGCAGAAGAATAGGTAAAGTGTTGGCTGATGACTGTGAGGATTGACACTAACAGGAAGAACGGTAAAGCAGAGAAGTAGCACCCTGTTGTTAGATTTGTTGTTGTTGTTTTTGTTTTTTGAGACAGGGTCTTGCTATGTACTTCAGGCTGGTCTTGAACTCCTATGTAGCCCAGGCTGGCCTCAGCCTCCCCAGTGCTGGGCTTACAGGTGTGTGCCACCACATTCAGCTTTGCCACCACACCCAGCTTTAGATTCTTTTTTTTCTTTTTTTTTTTTTTTTGTCTTTTTTTGAGGCAGGGTCTCACTGTGCAGTTCAGGCTGGCCTTGAGCTCACTTTGTTGCCCAGGCTGGTCTCGAACTCGCAACGAGCCTCCTGCGTCAGCCTCCCAAGTGCTGGGATTGCAGGCCTGTACCACCTCGCCTGGCCCAGCTTTAGATTCTTAATGTGCTAATTTTATAGGCTTAGGGTGAGTGGGAAAAGTGAACCAGGGATGTTGGTAAACTGAAACTCATTAAAATCTTCACAGGAAGTGAGTGTGATTTAAGTGACATGACTGTAAAAGCGGGTTACATTTTAGGGATCCTTGATCCATTTGAGAATCAAATAAAAGTAAAAGATTTCTTCTCCATAAGAATATACAAATATGCTCACACATAAAATTTTGCGTGTGGTTTTTTTCTTTTCTTATCCTAAATTCTTCTTCCAGAAGTCCCAGATTAAAAATTCCTGATTAGCTCAAGACAGTATAGTGCTTAGCACTGGTCAGAACACACCGACAACACTCTATTTCTTAGGTCTGGGGATCACAGTTTTTAGGGACAATCTGAGGGGCAATAAGTGTTGCATAATGTTACGGTGTATATGTGGTTGCCCCCCGAAGCCTCATGGACTCAAAGGTGGGGCTTTTAGAAGGTGACTGGATTGTGGGGGCTTATAGCTGGCTGAGTTTAGGAGGTGGCTGGTCAGAAAAGGCGGGTCACTTCTTGAGGTGTGGCCTGGAAGGCTATACTGTTTCCCCTTACCCAGCTCTTCCCTTTCCTCTCTGCTTCCTGTTCACTATGCTGTGAGCAGCTCTTCTCTGCCATGCCCCTCTGTCAAGCTATCCTGCCTTAGAGCCAGCCCAGCCAACTATGGACAATAGCTCTACAAATTGTGAGCTGTAATAAACTTTTCCTCCTTTAAGTTATGGCTGTTGGGTATTGTGTCCCGGTGACAAGCAAAGTAACTAAGACATATAATATCAAGACAAAGTTAAGCGCAGTGGAACATACCTGTAATCCCAACTACAGTAATAGGGAGGCTGAGTCAGGAGAATTACAAGTTTGAGGCCAGCCTGGGAATTTAGTGAGACCCTGTCTCAACATGAAAAATAGAGGCTTAGCCAGGAATGGTAGCGCACACTTGTGCGCTAGGGAGGCTGAGGCAGCAGGATTGTTTTGAGTTCGAGACCAGCCTGGGCTACAAAGTAGCTCAAGGACGGCCTGAACTGTATATGGAGACCCTGTCTCAAAAAGACAAAAAAAAAAAAAAAGAATAGAGGCTTGAGCATATAGCTTAGTGGTGGAGTACAGTGAATTCAATCCTAAATACCACCAAAAAAAAAGTCACAAATAATTAAACTGAGTGCATTTGGTCTACAGAAAAGTAAGGGATAGGCTATGGTAATTCTGGGCTTTAATGATTGGAGCTGTTACACGGAAAAGGGATTAGACTTACTTTGCATGATTCCCTTTGCTCCTTCCATAAATAGTAAGTTCAGTACTGAGAATTGAATATCAGTTAAAGCACTGAATGTTGAATCTGCTTTCTCCAAGAATTTACAGTCTAGCAAGGAGACAATTATAAATCATAAAGTTATGACAAGGTAGACAGGGACATAGGAATGTTGTTACATTCAAAATTCACTGTGGGAGAGTCCATTGTAATTGGAATGGATTTAGAGAAGATGAATTTCATTTTATTTTTTGGTTGGGGAAGCTGAAGAGGCCTTTGAGGTGAACTTTGAAGAGTGAGTTTAGAAGTATGTAGATGTTCAGATATGAGGGGACTTTCTAGTCCCAGGGAATAGCAAGGAAAAAAAAAAAGCCAAGGAGGCTGGAAAAATGGACACCTGTGAGAATTGTAAGCAGTTGACATAGAGTGGTGAAAAAGTGTAGTAATATGATGGGGCCAGGTTATGAACCCGAATGCCAGGTAAAGGAATTTGATCTTTGTTCCACAATCAGTGGAGCTCCTTTGGAGCTTGTTTTCTTAGCAGGAGAATGAAATCATTGAGAACTGTATGCCTGGAATGTGAATCTCATAGCTCTGTAAAATCATTTAGAAACGATCTGGAGGCTGTGCAGCCAATTAAGAGGTCATTGCAGTAATTCTGGCAATAAGTAATGGGTAGTATCGTGGTAGTGAGAATGAAAAAGAGGAAGATGATGGAAAAAAAAGCATCATGATTCTATATCTGGTTCAGGTAAATAGAAGGCAAAAGGAAGGAAATCTAACATTGCAAAGTGTGTAGACAGTGGGTTTAACACATGTCTGATATAAAAAGGGAGCAGGGGGAAAAATAAAATAAAAATTTCCCCATTGCTTCAGTTGGAAGGAATTAATTTCAGATATGGTAGAATAGAGTTGACTAGTACATAGTTCCTGATTTTATATTTTATTTTATTTTAATTTTGTGACAGGGTCTTACTGTGTTCTAGGCTGGCCTTGAATTTAAGATCTTCCTGCTTCGGCTTCATGCGGGGGTGGGATTACAAGTGTGTGCCACCATGCCTGGGTTGAAATAATCTTACAGGTTTTTGTTGTTATATTTCATTAACATTTAACTTTCATTTTGGGATTACTGGTGGTCTCAATGTCTGCAGAGTTATTGCACCCTGGTTGGCCATTCTTCTGAAACATTCTAGCAATACTGAAACTGGGCGTGTGAAATGAAATGAAAATTGGTGAGGTCTGCCACTGCCAGAGTTAAGTTTGAATATAGAATCTTGTCGCTCAAAACCCCGTGCTTGGCCCTGTGTCTTAGAATGTGACTCTGAAAGATCATCTTTTGATGGCTTTTGAGGGTGATTTCCTTCCCATGCTTCCTGTGTCATTTATTTCCATCTCAGAGGCACTTAGAGTTGTCCTCTAGAGGTTTCAGTTTATTAATGGCTCCACATTTCAGTGCCTCTGTTCAGTGTCAGCACTGTGGCGGGGTATGGCAGGATTTATTCTGTTCTCAAGCTGTTTATGGATTCTGGTGTTTCCTACGTAAATATTGTCACCAAAAAGGCTTAGGGGTTTTAAGAGGAAGAAGAGCGTGATAGAGACATTGATCTGTTTTAGAATCCAGGGGTTGCTCTGGGCAAATCATAAAAACAGAAAGCAGTGGACCTCAGCTGTTGGCAGTGGGCATTGCTCAGTGGCTCGGCACTCAAGCAAGTTAAGCCCCTTTACAGCCTAAGTCTTTCGTATGTACTCCTCAAATTTTATGATTTCCTTTGACAAGAAAGGAGGACATGTCATAGTGCCCCCAGTGCTCCTCAAGGAATTGTGGTGGAAGCCTTAAGAAGTTAATATAAAAATCTTAGATAATCATTAGCTTACACCGATCTTTATTTCTCAAATAACTCACTGTCACTTACTCTACAACCAAAGAGGATATTAAAATGAATAGGTGAATCAGAAGTGTTATTCCTGGACTGACATTTGTTTCTGTAATCTTTATACCATTACTCTGTTGCCTGGCCTCATTTGTATTTTGCATGTGTGCATAGAGGAGGCACGATCCAAAGGTACAGTGAATGTTTAAATTAAGAAAAAAGGGGCTGGGGATTTAGCTCAGCGACAAAGTGCCTGCCTGGCAAGCACAAGGTCATGAGTTCAATTCCTGGTACTGGAAGAAAAACAAAAAAAAACCCAAACAAATAAATTAAGAAAAAAAGCAAACTTTCACTGTCATAGTAAGAGACACTGCCAGGGGCGCACTGCAGGTGGAAGCTCCTGGCTCCCAGTCTGTGTTTTAGCCTGCAGTTTTCTCTTTATTTCTCTCTCGACTTAGTGTAGGAACTATAAGTTCCCTGTGTCCAAACCAGTCATTATTTTACTCCCTGTAACTCCCTTTTTTTGTAGTTTCTATCTCAGTTTTTGGCTTTTGAGTTTCCCGTACTAAAAACTTGAATGTTATTCACGTTTCCTTTTTTGTTTTTGAAGTGGGGTCTCAGGACGTTGCCCAGGCTGTCTTTGAACTCTGAGGCTTAAGCAGTCCTGTCTCAGCCTCTCGGTACAGAAGTGTGCACCGCTGCACCTGGTTCCTTCTGTTAGCTTCCTAAACCTCGCTTCCTCCTGTCCTCACTGCCTCGCCCGCTTCGGACCACTGTCCTGCCTCCCGAGTTATGTTCGATGTCCTAGTGAGCTCTCGTTTATCCTGTTCGCGTAATCCCTGTTGGCAAGGAGCAGTCATGTTCAGGTTGCTTCCCAGAGAAGGGGTTTAGAGCGCAGTCGTCTGTCCATCACTGCTCAGAGAGAGCAGCAGCTGTGGAAGAAGTTGGTCATGTTTTAGTGCACAACGCCCTTATGGGCTGTGGCCAGTCTAGAAATAGTGGTGTTGGCTTGGGAGTTCATTTCCCAAGTTATGGCTTAAGCGGCAGTAACAGATCATGGTGATCTGTTCTTCAGGGATTGTTCGGGACTTCTCTCAGGCTGGGTAGTATAAATGGCATGTACTCTGAAGCTCCTTGGGCCTCCGTGTGCCATCCAACCTAGATTGTATCTTCCTAAAGAATAATGTTGAAGCTGGGCACGGTAGCTACATCTGTAACCTTGGCTACTCAGGAGGCGGGGCAGGATTCCAAGTTTGAGGCTGGCCCAGGCAACTTAGTGAGACCTTGACTCAAATAAGGGGTGGGGATGTGGCTCCGTGGTAGAACACTTGCCTAGCACAAGCGAGGCCCTGGTGTGATTCTCTGTACTGCAAAAACAAGCAAAACCATTGATTGTGAAATTCATCGCTTATCAAAACTCCTGGCGCGGCTTATGAGCATCCTATCTGTCTCCCCCCATAAGACCTGTGCTCAGCTGCAGCGCATTTCTCCCTCTGCGCGTTGTGTTTGTAGAGCCCCCTCCTCTTTCCTCATGCAGGTGTACCCTTCCTGCCCATGCTCGCTTCCAGGAGAGCCGGGCTCGTCTGGGCAGTGGCTACTCTTTCTTTTGTGTTCTCCGGTGTATCCTGTTTTAAAACCCTATCACATTGTCACCTATCGGTGCGTTTGTCTCCCTCAGCGTTGGGTTTTGAGTTTGTCTAGGACAGAACCCTTCTCTTCTCTCTTTGTTCAGGTTTCCTCACTCCCTGATTTGTCAGGTATTTTCTTCAGTGGCTCCTTATGCCCAGCACCGTGTTGTTGAGGAGCTCAGAGGGAATCTCTTTGTATTAGGTGTTTTCTTTTTCTTCTAGGTCGTGATATCATTGGGCTGGCAGAAACTGGTTCTGGAAAAACAGGGGCCTTTGCGTTGCCCATTCTGAATGCGCTGCTGGAGACGCCCCAGCGCTTGTTTGCCCTGGTTCTCACCCCCACCCGGGAGCTGGCCTTTCAGATCTCAGAGCAGTTTGAAGCCCTGGGGTCCTCGATTGGAGTGCAGTGTGGTAAGTGCCCAGGAGGAGAATGAGTGCGGAAGGAGAGTGGGAGACAGTGTTGTTGGCAAGAGTTGCTTCCCTAGGAGCTGGTGATGTATTTCAGCTTTGGGAAAGGCGTTACTTGTGAGGGGTGTGTGAGTGTAAGTAGATACAGTATTGACTTTAAAAGAGGATCACTGGTTTATGGAGAAAGTTGAGGATCTCTTTTCTATACTTTTTTTATTTCTGTAGCTGTGATTGTAGGTGGAATTGATTCAATGTCCCAGTCTTTGGCCTTGGCAAAAAAACCACATATTGTAATAGGTGAGTCACTGAGGAAGGTAAGAGACCGGCAGTGGTGAATGGGAGAAAAACTACCAATGTGGGACGGAAAGACTTTGAGCAATAGGTTTCTGTAACCTGTTGAATTTTTTAATTTTTTACTTTTGGGGCTGTGTGAGGGTAGTAGATCACCTTTTTGCTCTTGTCCTGGAACGTTGCCTTTTCTTCTAACCTGTTCTTGGTAGCGACTCCTGGCCGATTGATTGACCACTTGGAAAACACAAAAGGTTTCAACTTAAGAGCTCTCAAGTACTTGGTCATGGATGAAGCAGACCGGATATTGAACATGGATTTTGAGACAGAGGTGAGTCCGTAACATTTCTTTCTTCCTCCTAGACCATCTCAAATTTTCTGTTTCTAAATTGGTTCTTTGCTCCCATGGTTTTCTTTGTTGTTGTTGTTTTTGGTTTTTGCTGTATGGGAGATTAAACCCTGGGCACTGAGCTACATGCCCTACTCCTTTTCTTTGTTTTTATGTTGAGACAGGGTCTTGGGAAGTCACTGAGTTGCCCCAGGCTGGGCTCAAACTTGTAATCCTCTTGCCTGAACCTCCCAGAGTGCTGGGATTACAGGCGGCAGCGCCACACCCGGCTGCTCCCCTCTCCACGGAAAGGTCTGCGTCAGTCTCGGCGAGCTATGGCGTCTCTCCTGGCTTTTTCCCTTCTCAGTGCTGTTCCTTCTCACTGTCAGTGCCTTAGCATTTCAGAGATGAGAAAGCTCAAGGACAGCGTTTCCTCTCACACGTTTAATTTAGACCTCTTCTGTATATCTGCAATACCTTCTTTTTCTTTGCTAACCCTCTTATCATTGCTTGTGTTCTTCTTGGTCTTTCTCTTAGCTTAGCTTTAATCTACTAATTTAAACTTCTTATCTGAATGGCGTTATTGTGTTTTTGATGGCACCTGATATGGTATAGGCGATAGTAAATTCTAGCTGAACTGAACTGATTTTTGAGTCCCAAATTTCCAGTGGTGTATTTAGTATCTTAGTCTCCACCTCATTCACAGTGCATGAGATTTGCAGGTGTCTGGTCAGATGTCACGTTGCCATCCTTTCCTCTTTGTACCTCAGGTTGACAAGATCTTGAAAGTGATCCCCCGAGACCGGAAAACATTTCTCTTCTCTGCTACCATGACCAAGAAGGTGAAATTTGCTTGGACATTTGTTTCTGTCTTTATGAGAATTTATACATTAAAACAGTAGTAAAAATACATAAAAATAAAATTAGCAACATTTAGGAAGTAATGTACTGTTCATGTTTTTCTTTTTTAGGTGCAAAAACTTCAGCGAGCAGCTCTGAAGAATCCTGTGAAATGTGCTGTTTCTTCCAAATACCAGACAGTTGAGAAATTACAACAATATTATCTTTTTATTCCCTCTAAATTCAAGGTAGAGTGTTTACTTTGATCATTCCTGCCTCTCCCTCTCTCACCAAAGCATCTGAAAGTGTGTCAACTCTTGATTAGTTGAGAGCCGTGATAAAGGTGGAGTCCCCTCTGTTTGCTTTAGGCTGCATGTTGTGCTTGTATTTATTGCAGATAAGTCAGACATTCCAGGAATTCACAGCATATTAAACCACAGTGTTGAAGTCCTGATGTAATGATGTAGTTACTTCCCAGCCCCATCCTTGAGGTAGTTTATGCTTAGCTTATTATGTGTATTTTCTCTATTGCTTTCTTTCCCTCTCTTTCCCTTCCTCCATTGGTCCTTCCTCCCTCGTTCCTTTTTCTCACTCCCTTTCTTCCTTCCTTCCTTCCTTTCTCCCTCCCTTCTTCTTTTTTTTTGTGGGGGGGTAAAAAAAGTCCCTAATTCTGTGGTTTCATATAAAGCTGGTTGCTGAGCTCCACTTTCCCAGGGCTAGACCTCAGGCTGTGTTGGGGACACATAATTTGCACACACATCACAGTACTAGTTAAGATGTGCAGAGCTGGCAGCTAGTGGATAAGAAGCACCTGTACAGGCTTAACCTTTCCTTAATGTTTAAGATGTCCATCCCTTTCTCTCAGGTTCAGTTACATATTTTGTTTTGGGTTTGTAACTTAGGATACCTACCTGGTTTATATTCTAAATGAATTGGCTGGAAATTCCTTTATGATATTCTGTAGCACCTGTAACAATACTCAGAGAACTGCTCTGCTACTCCGAAATCTTGGATTCACAGCTATCCCTCTGCATGGACAGATGAACCAGGTAAGGATTCTTTCGTGTCATTGGCCATGAACTGGTAGTGTGTCTTCTAATAGTAGAGTTGTACAATGAGGATGTATGGCATTAATGCCGGTTTTGATGCATGTTCTGATTTTCTGGGCTTTGAATTGTTGGTCTGAAAGCTTACTTTCCTTTATCAGGACAAGAAGAGGCACAGATTAGAGTACTTTATAGGTAGTTGTCTGGCTTGCAAGCTCTTACATTGATTTATTTAGCCCTAGTGGTAATAGTGATTCTTGGGTCTCTAAAGACTTAATAAATTACTTTCCAATTATGTTTCTGTCATGTTAAACAATCTTATTTTGCGTTACTATTTGCAGCCTAATTGTTAAATATTTTTTATTGCTTCTCTGTTTGTTTTGACTTGTTAAGCTCTGTTCTGGATTTAAAGGGAAAAAAAACATTAAAAAATTTTCTTAGTTTTTATGTTTAGTGTGTCTATTTTATATATTTTACATTCTAAGATTTCTTAGTGTTCCAAGATGAAAATTTTCCCCTTTTATTATTAGTGCCTATTAATACTGGTTTTCACTGCATACATTTTGATTATATCCATCCCGCTATTTCCCTGCAGCCTCTCCCTTCCCTTTGTCCAATAGTCTCCCTTCTACTTTCCTGTCTTTTTTAGATTCCACCTATTAGAGAGTTCTCACTTCTTTTTCATCGTTTCAGAGCAAGCGCCTGGGATCCCTGAATAAGTTTAAGGCCAAGGCTCGTTCCATCCTTCTAGCAACCGATGTTGCAAGCAGAGGTTTGGACATCCCTCATGTGGATGTAGTTGTCAACTTCGACATTCCAACTCACTCGAAGGTGGGTCTCGTTGCTAGCCGGATATTCTAGTCTCAAAGTTTATTCCTTAAGTGTTTTCTTAGAACAGTTTTTTTGTCCTTAAATTAGTGAAGTATCAAAGCCCAGGAAAGCCCTTGTGTATTCATTCTTAGCAGCTTGCACAAGGCCGTGTATGTCACGTCAGTAAATGTGAGTGAAGGTGGCCAAGGCGAGTTAGTTGTTGGAAGCTGTCATCCAGAGAGGCAGATTCTGATCTATGTCATCTCTTTTCTTTAGCAGCGACAGCATTTGGTTCTTAGTGAATCTCAGGGTTTCTCAACTTTGGCACTGTCACCATTTTGGGGCAGTGAACTCTTTTGGTTGTTCCTTGCATGTAGTATGCTTAGCGTTCCTCCTCTCTATTCAGTAGATGACAGTATCCCACGCTCTTCTAGCGTGACAGCCAGAAATGTTTCCAGACATTACCAGATGTCCCCTGGGGATGACACAGTCACCCCTGCTTGAGAACTGTGTATCTCTTGGCTTCATATTTAACTGCTGTAGATAAGGTGCTGTCTCATTGGATTTTCACAATAAGCTTTATGTTTGGGCATGTATTTCTGTCCTTGTTTTATAAATAGAAACCAAGGTTCAGAGAGGTTATGTTGTTTGCAGATGAAACTGTAGCTGGCATTTGGTAAAACCTCTAGCTCTTTATCATGTTACCTCTATGTTCATGTGTATCTATTTTATATATTTTGCATTCTAAGATTCCTTAGTTTTCCAAAATTAAAAATTTCCCCACTTTTTTATAAATTGTCCCCATATGCTTTATAGATTGCTTTTTTTTTTTTTTTTTTGTGGTACTGGGTTGAGCCTACGCTCTTTGCAGGGTTTTGCTAAGCTGCCCAGCTAGACATAATTGCAGTCCTTCTGTCTTAGCCTCTCAGAGTGCCTAGCCTATTTTCTTTCATAGAAAGAAGTCTTTTTACAGCAAGACTTTGCACACCTAGTTTACTTACAATCCATATAACCTGAGTTTATCCCTTTTGCTGCAGGATTACATTCATCGAGTAGGTCGAACTGCTAGAGCTGGGCGCTCTGGGAAGGCCATTACTTTTGTCACACAGTAAGTAGATCAGCATGGGGTATTGTAATGTGAGGGACAGACCAGAATGCAAGGGAGCGCCAAAGAGCTGGACCAACTTGGAACTTGGCTCTCTACCGTTTGCTTTGCTAATCACTTAAATGCCTTCATCCTGGTTATAGTTCTTCTTCTTTCTGGTTTTCATATTTCTAAAATGGAAATAATACCTACCTAGCAAGGTTTTGATGAAAATTGGAGGCAATATATGAAAAACATCAGGTGTATTTGGTATATAGAAGCACAAGAAAGGTGGTGTCTGTTGTTTCTTTCAGTGGCTAGATTTGGAGAGGAATGACCTTTCCCTCAATTTAGAAAGTATTAGAGTAACTATGTCTGATTTTTTTTTTTTTTTAGAAACAAATTTTTATGTACCTATGGCATTTCTATGAATAAAGAATACTGTGGATAATTTTCTCATAGGCCATGCAGAAAGATTGCTTTTGTTTAGTATTTAGAAAAGGACAACTGTGTTCATTATTGTTTAAAACTGGCTTTGTATCGCATCATATTTTCTTGCGGTGTTAGTTTGAGAATGGACAGATGTTTACACTATCAGCCAATGAAAGTCATGCCATGTTTCCTTCTCAGGTATGACGTGGAACTCTTCCAGCGCATAGAGCACTTAATTGGGAAGAAACTGCCTGTCTTTCCAACGCAGGATGATGAGGTTATGATGTTAACAGAACGTGTGACTGAAGCCCAAAGATTTGCCCGAATGGTATGCAGTTTGCTGTCCTTTTCAGCAGCCTATGTGCAGTGATACTAACTGTGCATCAGATACTATGTTATATTAATCCTCATCAAAACTTGAGAAGCTGGGTATCATTTTGTTCCAAATTTAACATAAGCAAAAACTAAGGTGCAGAGATGGTAGATGGTGGGCTTTAGGCCGTGCAACCACATGGTTGAATCAGCGTTTAGACCTACTCTAACCAGGCGGACCACATTCTTAGCCAGTGTTCATGGACTATATTATATGTGGCAAAAAACCCCCACCAGACTTGAGGTCAGGAGACCAGGCTGTGGACTGAGAGCTAGGACATTTTGCCTAACCTCTCAGGATCAGTTCTTCACCTGTAAACGGGGAATAATACTTGCCGTGAATACCTATGGTATTTGGTGAGCACCAGGAAAGCTCCTGTACACGTTACTAGTAGTGGCAGAAGCAGCAGTGGCGAGGATAAGAGTCTAGAAGAAATGAGTGTTCTTTGCTTCCTGAGTTCTAGACTGAGAGCGGGAGAAACTGCCCAGGTTGCTTTCTGAATAACTGAGGTGCAGACTTGATTTGTTTTTTTGTTCACATGGAATTTTTTGTCTGGTAGTTTTCTTTCTTCCTCTCTTTTTTGGGGGGTGGGTACAGGGAATCAAACTCAGGAGCTCACATTAGCCAGGCAAGCGCTATGCCACTGAGCTAAATCCTCGGCCCTGTCTGGTATTTTTGTTGATAAAAGTGCTACCTGTGCATTGGAGAAAAAATACAGAAAGAAAATACAGAAAATAGAGAAAGGTTTAAAGTAGTAAATGAGCCTGCGTGTGGTGGCACACCTGTAATCCCAGCACTTGGGAGGCGGAGGAGGGAAATGTTGTGAGTTCCAGGCCAACCTGAGCTACATGGTGAACTCAAGGCCAGTCTGAACTGCTAAACTGCACAGTGAGACCCTGTCTCCAAAAAAAAGTAGTAGATGAAAAGCGCAATAATGCCCCCACAGAGAACTATTGATAACCCTTGGCTGTTTTTCTTTCTTTAGTCATAATTGGAATTTGTATTGAACCCAGAGCCTTCACACTGAGCTACATCCTTAGCTCTTTTTAAAATATTTTGAGATGGGATCTTGCTGAGTTGTGAAGGACAGGATAAGTAGCAATCCTCCTGTCTCATTTTCTCCAAGTGCTGAGGTTGTAGGTCTGTGCCACTGCTCTGGGCTGTGGTCCTTTCTTCACGTCCCTGCTTTCCTACTTCCAATTCCTCCCACCCCGACCATTTCTTAATAGCTACAGGGAGGGGCTGGGGATTTAGCTCAGCGGCAAAAGCGCCTGCCTGGCAAGTGCAAGGTCGTGAGTTCGGTTTCCGGTACCGGAGAAAAACCAAAAAAAAAAAAAAAAATAGCTACAGGGAATTTCCGCACACATACGTAACATGATTGACATTGATGGATGTTTATTCTTTTTTCCAGTTTTTAAAAAGTTTAACTAGTACTGTGTTGAATATCCTAATATGCGTAGTTTTGCATACTTGTTTCCTTAAATTCCTAGAGGTAGACTTCTTAGGCCAAGAAACACACATAGATAAAACTTGAATTTATAGATAATGCCAAATTAGAGGTAGATTTTGCCAGAGCTCAGATACTGTTTCTCTTTTTTCAATTTCTTAATGTTCATTAGTATGTGCTTATAGTACATAGTGATTACATTCATTGTGGGGAGATGGTGCATATGTATACAGTAACACATCTTTTGATTTTCCTTCCCTATTTTTGTCTTAAATCTTTGCCAACCTGCCATGTGAGAGTAAGGGCCTGTTGTTTTAATTTTATGCTTTGATCACTAATAAGGCTGACATGTTTGCATAGTTGGAGTTAGGTCTTACCCCTTTGCCACAGTCAGCTGTTCGGAAGTTCCTTGTTGCCTGATCTGAAGGAAGGGACCTAGAATGTGTTAGCCTCAGTGAAAGCAGCTCATGGTCAGTCTCCTTACTGCTGTCCTGCAGGAGTTACGGGAACATGGCGAAAAGAAGAAACGCTCACGAGAGGATGCTGGAGACAATGACGACACGGAGGGCGCTATCGGAGTCAGGAACAAAGTGGCTGGAGGGAAAATGAAGAAACGGAAAGGCCGCTAATCACTTTCACAAGGACTTGGATTCTGCTCTGTCTGTAAGCAGGGATCGAGGAGGAGAATGAAACGCCCCCACCAGCGCTCCTCAGCCCGGAATCCGTCGCAGTCCTGTCCAGAAGTGGCTCAGCTAATGGGGCACGCGTGCCCCTTTCTTTGTGTTGGGTGGCATTGCTGCCGGGCGACGTTTACGGGGCTGATGTCAGGACTCACTGTTCTTCACTTTGGTTCCTTGCTTGTGACCTGAGTGCGATGTGCCCTGCTCTCACTTTACACAGACCTTTTGCCTTTTTCAGCTGCAGGTTAAGGACTTGGGCGATGAGATGCGCTGGCAGTCGTTGTAACGCAAAGATGACTGGACATTCCTAGGTGGTATTTAAGCTGGCTTAGCTTGTGCTTCACTGGGTTTGTAAAACAATAAACTTAAATGTTATTTTTAAAAGATTTAGACTTCTTAGAGACCTTGATGTTAAAGGGCATTTTAGATTTAAGTAAAATCTTGCTCCAGGTGCCTGCCTATAATCCCAGCACTCTGGAGGAGATTGAAAGTTGGGGCTTTTTTTGTTTTTGGGGGCTTTTTTGAGGCAAGGTCTTGCTATGTAGTCTGGGCTGACCTTGAACTCACTATGTAGACCAGGCTAGCCTCAAACCCCCCCGCCCATCTTCCTGCCTCAGCCTCTGAGTCTTGGGATTACAGGTGTGCACCATCATACCTGGCCAGGATTGGAAGTTTGAGCCCAGCATGGGCAGTTTAATGACTTAGCAATACCCTGTCTCAAAAACAAAAACAAGTTTTGCTAGTAGGTAAGAATGTGACAGTAGCAGTTAAATGGCTCATTCATTGGTTGTTTTTAATTAAGGTAAGCCTCATAGTATGACTTTGAAAGGAACTTAGTAAAGGAACAGTGTAATGGATAGCTTTGAAGAGGAACTACTTAGAAGGAGGCTGTGTTTCTCTTGGGGACAGAGCAAATGCCATCAGTAGGACCAACCATAAAGGTCTTTAGGCCAGGCATGGTGGCGCATGCCTGTTATCCCAGCACTCGGGAGGCTGAGGCAGGACGATCATTGCGAGTTTGAGACCAGTCTGGGCTACAGAGTGAGCTCAAGGCCAGCCTGAAAAGGTCTTTAGATTCCTAAATAGATTCACTTTCCTGACTCCCTGAGTCTAGCAGGTGGTTAGGAAAACTGGTTTATGTGGAATTCTATTCCCAAGTGATGAGAGTAAAATCGGAATGCACCAATTTCATCCTCTTGTCACTGGTGCCCAGGGTTCTTTGTCCCCATCTGTCCGGGATTGAGTTCAGGTGGTGGCGAGCTGGGGCAGAAGTAGGTATTGGTGCTGGAGGGCATGGCTGGGAGGAGAAGGTTGCTGGAAATCAGGAGACAGCTTTCAGCTTTCCAGCCACAGACAGTCTTGTGTTCTGAGGACTTTTCACACAGAAGATGCCTCACACTTTCGTTGACTCCATCAGTTTTATTCGAAGAAAATATATCTGCATTGGCAGAGCCAGGGTAAAGAGATTCCAAAGAATCATTGAGATGGATTAAGACCATGAATGAAGTTTGGAAGAAGAGAAACTTTCCATGTGCAATGCATCTTGAAGGAAAGTAAGTCCTAAAAGTTGGAGTATCTGGTGGGAAAATACAAGGCAATACTGTTCACTGTGGTTATTAGTGTGGGTGATCCATCTCATTTGGGGAGATCTTAAATATGCGGGTGAAGTCAGATACATTGGTATACAACTGTAATGCCAGCTACTTAGGAGGTGGAGGCAGAGGGATTGCAAGTTTGAGGCCAGCCCGGGCAACTTAGCAATACCTCTCAATAAAACGGGCTGAGGATATAGCTTACTGGTAGAGTGCTCTAAGTTCATTCCCCAGTACTGCCTAAATAAATAAATGAATAAATGAGGTGCTTTCTACCACAGATGTATCCTGACAAAATGAATCCTGTGGATACAGGGGTTTGTGAATAGAAATACAACGCATGGCTTATTTTGTTTAGTTTCTTGTATATTTTATTGCTGTCCATTATGCTGCATTTGAAAGAAGGAGGAGTTACAGGAGTCAGGACACAGTAAAAAAAGGAAATGGAAAAAAGGGTAGAAACAGGCAGATAGTTGAGTGGGTCATATTGAGACTGTTACACATTGTACCAACCACTTGGCATTGATTCTCTGCTATCACTGGACTTCAGAGACTGACGGCACTGCCCGGGGTGGCTTTGCATGGGTAGCAAATATATCTCTGAGCCCATGGATGAATGGTGGTTGTTGATTCGCTTAGTGGTGAACTTCAGAAGCAAGTTGAAGTTGGATTGGGGTACCAGTGGGGGGCCCGGGGGAGGGGTTGGAGTTATGCTGGAGGCTATCTAGATTTAAACATTCTTTAGTTCTACATTTCCTGATTTAAGAAACTGAACCTTGAAACAATCTCCTCCCTCCCCAATTGTGAGTAAGTACATAAATGTTTAAGACTTAATAAAGGGAGTATTTTGCGGTAGTCATGTAAGGCCAGCCTAGAGAAGAATTTCCTCTGAGCATCTAATTGTAAAGCTAACTTATGTAGTATTTGTTTATATAGTTGATGTAAGAATAGCTTCATGGTATCAGTGTCTGCCTGGTTTTACTTCTGTGGAGCTGAAAGTATGAATGAGGAAGACATTTCTGTCTTAGGAAAGTGTCCTAGGATTCCACTGAAGGGCTTTCAGGCAGGTAGAGCAGGCCCAGAATTCCAGGGCTCTCAGAGAATTTCAGTAGTTGTTAGGGGCCTAGAGTCACCTAGATTGTGATTCTGTCTCAGTCTCTCACAAACACCGTGGATATCCCAGAGTTTGGCTTAATATCCAGAGACCTTTCCAGGCAGCTTCTGCCTGCACTTTCCCCCAACAGAAATCAGAGACTGTCTAGCCCAAGTCCCTCAAAGGACTGGGAATTGGGATCAGAAAGAACCAGAGGCTGTGTGGTGTTCGTTACAGAAAATGAAGGAATTCAGGTTATCAAAAGCAGATCACAAAACAGCCTCAAGAAAATATGTCCATAATGCTAAATGGAGAGAATATGCAAGGTCTAATCCACGGTTCTTAAAGTGACATCTAGCCTGAGGGCAGATTATACATCAGAGTGTGAGACTCCTCTCTATTGTTGGAAGAAAAGACTGAGACCAGGGCACTAGAGATTCAAGGGTTACCCACACCTACATTCCTTGTCAAGCCTCACCTGTCTCAGGTATGCACTCAAAGTACACCTAAAAATAACTGCAGAAACTTGAGGTCTGGGAAATGGCACCCAGCTGTCTGTCACACGTAGGGTAAGGAGCTGACTTATGCCAGGCGGGAAGGAGACAGGAAGAATGGGCTTAGGTAGAGCGCGCGCCATCTCGAATGTCTGTTCAGATTCTTGGAGCTTTGTCTGTTCATAGCCATCCGTTTATCTGGTATCTTTCAAAAGCAAGGATGTCCCCTGTCCCCATGGCCCTTCAGTAACCTGCTGATGCCGTCAAGGGGTTGGAAGGAACAGGAGGGGTGTGGGAATGGAACAGAATTAAGAAAACTTAGTCATGAGACCTGTTTCTTCTGTTGCTGTGTGAGCTTGTGTGTATTCCTGAACCTCTGAACTTTATTTCCCCTCACTCGTTAATACAGAAGTAAGACCATTTATCCTATCTGCCTCACAGAATCTGGAGCCCAGTTTATAAAATTCTGTTCTCTCCCTCCTTCCCTTTTGCTGTGTGCCAAGTCCCAGCCACTGTGCCGTGTACTCCAGGGACAATACTGAAGAAAAGATCAGGTGTCCTTGCAGAGCTCAGTCTTAACGCTGTGTTGTGATTGTGCTTGCTACACATGGGCTGGGGGCATGGCTGATTGATGGGTGTAACTAACATCTTCCAAGGCCCAGCACAATGGATGCTCAATACCTACCATTGGCTGATACCTCCTACATGCTGGGAACTGCCCGTATTGACTCTAGCTGTTCAAGCAATCTGAAAGACGGATATTAGCATTCCCCCAAGTGCTGTGGAACCAGCTGGCCACATTGCCCTTTTGTAGCTCTGAGATCTTGGGCATGTTATTCAGTCTTTTTGAATTTAAATCTCTATCTGTAGAAGCATAGTACCTGCCTTACAGGGTTGTGAAGTTTAAATGAATTATACTCTGCCTCATTGTATTGATTCATACATGCTAGTCATTATTACTGTTATTCTTAATTTCAGTTTTTACAGTTGCAGGGGGGTAAGTGACTTGCCTAGGTCATAAGGTTGGGAATGGGCTGAGTAAAAATTTGCAACCAGGTTTGATTCTAAGTCAGCTCTTTACACTGAATATGTATGTACTTGTGTGTATGAGGGTATGTGTGTATAATTCCATATTATATTATTTACTTAATGCTTATTGAATAAGTGACTAAACGTCATTTACAGTATTATTCTTCCTTTGGAAAAAAATATGTTCCACATAACGTGTAAGTGTTAACATGAGGAAGCTTTCAGAGTCCACTCTATTTTTAAATTCACACCACCAACCAGGTGAAACATGACATTTTCATTTTTACCAGTAGGTGGCAGAAGGAAGAAAAGATTACCTCCATGGGAAAGAGTTTTGGTTCCTGGCAGAAAGAATGATTAACAGTGGGCAGGGACTGAGCCAGACTGGCAGATTAAAAGGGCTCTCGGTGTGGTGTGTGGCGCACAGTGACTGCGGGGTAGTGGTCAGAGCAGGTATGAGAACTACCTGCAAGGTGTCTGAAGGGTGTCAGCTTTCCAGAAGTTTGGCTAGGTTCCTCCAAAGATGGGGCTGAGAAGGCTGAAGTCAACTAAAATTCAGACAGCAGAAAGAGTTCATTAAGAAGAAAAAGTTTGTTGGGTGCGGTGGCACAAAACTAATTCCAGCTACTTAGGAAGCTGTGGTAGGAGGGTTCCAGGTTTGAGCCCAGCTTGTGCAACTTAGCAAGACCCTGCCTCAAAATTTAAAAAATGGAGACGTGGCCAGGCGTGGTGGCGCATGCCTGTAATCCCAGCACTTGGGAGGCTGAGGCAGGAGGATCGTTGCGAGTTGGAGGCCAGCCTGGGCTACAAAGTGAGCACAAGACCAGCCTGAACTGCATAGCAAGACCCTGTCTCAAAAAAAGAAGCAAACAAACAAATAAAAAATGGAGTTGTAATTCAGTGGTTGAGTGGTTGCCTAGCTTATAACAGTGCCTGAGGTTCCATCTCCAGTACCAATGAAAACTAAGCAAGCAAATATACAAAGTCTGTGTTGATTCCTATTCAGTTTATAAGAAGACTTATTTTTTTCTAAAGTCTGCCACCCTTCCTGCGATGTTGATCAAGTCTTTGGCTTTCGGATTCTTCCTCTACTTCCCCACTGCAGTCTGCTGTTTGGGGACACTGACAGTCCCCCCTGCTTACCCCAAGGCATTTGGTTACCAGTGTGGATTGCTGCC